CCTTCAACGAATTCCCCCTCAGGCCGGTGGCGTAACCAGCCTGAGCTACCATCCTTCATGTGTGTGATTTGTGGGTATATAGCAAAACGAGGCCAGCAATTAAAAGAACTTATCTGGACCAGAAGAAAGAGAAGAGTAGCAAAAGAGAGACAGCTCAGCTGCACACATCACCCAAATTCACTGGTGTGTCTTCAAATTTTGGGACACACTCTGCTTTGTGCAGCAGCAACCGTGATATTGTCAGTGCTTGACAAGCGGTATCAATATTTCAAAAACCAACAGAACTTTCAGTCTTAGAGGTTGTATTGCAAACAAAAAAAAGAGTCAAAGTAGGCAGCAGCCGAACGGTGACGTAGCTGCCGATGTTCTCTGTACCAATCAAAACACTTTTAAACACTTTTTAAATCATTATATTTAAATTTGACTACTTTTAAGGTAAATAAATAAAATAGTAAACATTCTCTAGCTAGATTTTTACTCTTGGCGGTGTAATAAAAATAAAATTCACAAAATGTGGACAGTTGGTCTTTTAAGGAAAGACTCATGACCTCAGTACATCCTGTTAATCATGGGAATGACCCTGCAGCAGAACCTTACAGCAGCACAGCACTTCATCTTAATATCAGAAAGCTTTATTTTTAAATTTGACACTAGATTTCCTGTAGATATAATCTTTAAAATTTCCATGTAAACCACTGTAGCTGGAAAAAGTAGGGCTGGCTATCTATAGCCTAGTTTGGTAAACCACTACAGTCGCCTACAGGAACTGTATCATGAACTAGTACAAGTCATAATGAAACAAAAAACACAAAGAAAAGGAGAAAGAACATCTTTATGAAGTCATTACTTTATGAAGTAACAATGATTGCGTGCTGGCTCACTGGAAAAACTTACTGCGACATTTAATATAATGGAAGCGAGCCAGCGTTAATGTCGTTAAATCCACCTGTGCTTTTACTGCTATGACAACTCAAAGCCTGCTGTGAAAAAGGTCTGTACATGTACAGCACAGAAAAAGAAATACATGACAGAAGCCCATTAGGTCAGTAGGCTGCCAGAAATATCCCTCATCACGAACTCACAGTCACTTGAGACTTGTATTACTTACTTTACATTAGTCATATCTGAATGTATTTGGGCTGTAATTGCATTAGAGTGGATCTGACTTTATGATACAGCTATGCACATGGGTAAGCTGTTATTTAAATCAAAGCTTAGTGTGTGTGTTTCCCATTTAGAAATCGGCTGTCTCAAGTGTCCATAATTACATTGTACAATCACTGCATGTGAATCATGAGGCAAATTAGAGTTATTACAGTACAAATACATAAATAAAAATGATTAAAGTGACTGATGAAGTGACTCTCTGGTGGAGGAGTAGCTTTGCCTCAAGCCACCAAATCCCAAACACTGCCTCTGAGTCTCCACGCAGACACTGTACGACATATGTCTTGGCGTAACCACACTGAGCCCTGGCCTGTCTCTTGCGCAGTGGTCAGTGTGCGGCTAATATGTAACAAGACATGACACTTCAAAAGTCCAACATGTGCCACAAGCGATAACAAACCGCCTACAGTACGCTCACTCTGCAAGCTTGTGGACTCAGCAGCTCCCAATGACAGCGTGTTTGTTATCTCGCCTACGCGCGGAGCTGGCGTCGTCGTTTGATATCATTTTGATCTCACAGAATGAAATGTTTCTTCATTTGTGTCCTCTCTGCGAGCTCCTTGTCCTCCCCCCGTCCACAGCTCCTCTGCAGGTGGCATATTCGAATCTGCTTATTTGCAGAGACATCACCATGGCACCTGTGTCATGCCCGGAGACCTCCTGTAATCTCCTCAGAGCGCTGTGTGAAATGGGCCGTGACCTCTTCTTCTCTATTTCTCTGTCTTACTCCATCCTTCACTGCTCTGCTTGTCCTACACTCCTGTCTGTCTGTGACGCAGGAGGATAATTCATACTCACCAACTAAGAGCTGACGGCAGACTCACAGGCCAGAACTAATTTACAGCAAGAATACATTACAGTGAGCGGGACAGCAGATACAGCTCATCCTGACTAATCTACATAACAGGAATATATGACGTGTGGTCAAATGTGGACACCCAAACATAACACCCGTATGTGACTGTTAAAAGGCTTATTCCAAAACTAATAGGCTGCTATAACAGCCTCCAATCTTCTTTAAAGGCTTTCCACAAGATTTTGGATTTGCTCCCATTCAGACACAAGAGCATTAGGGAGGTCAAACACTGATGTTTGGCTATGAGGTCTGGCTCTCCGTCAGCGCTCCGGTTCATCCCAAAGGTGCTGGATGGAGTTGAGTCCAAGTTCCCTCACACACTCCAAACCTGACCTGTGCACAGGGACATAGATATGTTGAATTAAAGGAAGGAAACAAGGTTGGAAGCACACTATTTTCTAAAATGTATGTAATTGTATGCAGCCTGTAGCATTAACATTTCCTTTCACTGCCAAAAGTACACAAAAGTATGAGGACGTGGGTTTAATCTGCTACTGACTCATCTACATCACAGGTATAAACTTGTGTTTGTCACACAAAAATAAACGTTCTTAAGAGAAAAGGCATATTAAAAGCCTTTATTCAGTCAATCATAATAAAGTAAGTATCTTTCTGGATTCTTGTTGTCACTGAGAGGTTGCTGGGCAACTAGCGGAGACTCCACAAATCAATATTGATTACACCCGGTATTCTCGATAGACAAGTGGTTTCCAACTGTTTAAGCTTGTGAGCCCTTAAAATGAAGACATGCCGATTTATTTACCCTCATCACAAGTTATGGCCTCAGTATGGACATTAGCTGTTGAGCTATTGAGGGTTGAGTTTCCCTTCCCTAGACTGTTTCATGTAAAAGAAGAAATGGATAGAAGTAAAACAAAACTTTGTGGAACAGAAATATAATTGTCTTTTCTTATCCCTTTTAATAATTATTCTTGAGACTCTCTTGTGGTTGGGAGCCACTGACATAGAGAGTAAACTGGGAGCAAACATTATTCTATCACGTAGTCAGATTATCAACAGGAAGACATACTGAAACAATAACCATACAAATCATATAACTCCTGTTTTATTTGTGTTTCCATTTTACCTCTCATTAACCTAAATCTATGTCATCCTTTTGGCATATTTTGTTATGATGTTTGCTCAATACGAGAAGCATTATTTTATGCATCACTTGAAAGTGCAAAGTGCTGCAGTAGTGGCATTTAGTGAAGCCTTGGTGGGATGACGTGCGAGTGCATCTTCCTGTGACAAAGGGAGCAGCTTTGATGTTAACCAGTGCAGGAATCCTCAGGCTCAGAGATCCTCTCTGTTTTATTTCACCACCTCCTCTGACTGGGAAGTATGCACACACTTCATTACGTGTATGTGTGTACGTGCACCTGTTTGTGTGTGTGTGTGTGTGTGTGTGTGTGTGTGTGTGTGTGTGTGTGTGTGTGTGTGTGTGTGTGTGTGTGTGTGTGTGTGTGTGTGTGTGTGTGCGTGTGTGTGTGTGGAAAAGGTAGTTCCTCCTCCTCTCGACTCCTGCTTTGCCTAATACGTCCATGCAGGGCTCGCTGGAGAGCGGCGTGCAGCAGCACAAAGATCAGGGCTATTCTGGTGCTGCCAGCCTGCCCGGTGCTGATAGGAAAGGATTAATGAGGCGGGGCACTCATCACTTGTAATTAGAAACAACGCTAAAACTATTTTTGTGCTTGTTCCTATGGAGAGATCTTGACCCTCAGGCCAGCTCCCCCCCAACACCCCTTCACTGCTAGCCATGAGGCGGTAGACGCCTGAGAAGCTGAAGTAAATATAGGCCCATAACTCCTGCAGCTATGTGACACATGGTTCAATGGAGGGGAGTGCAGATAATTCACAACGTTGGCTGTGTACTCCACTGGATGCTCAAATGTCAAGAGGCTGAGAGAGGCTGTCTCTTAAAATGCGCCCTGTAAGGCTTGTTTTGTTGTTATTGATCCCAATAATTAGGCAGTCTCTGAGCTTCTGTTGTTTCCTGGCTTTGATTGTATTATGAGGCCTTGATCACGTGAAATTCTTCTTTCCCTCTTTATCCCTTCATCTGTTGTTTGTCTTTTAACATCCAGATGGTTTCTCACAAATGTGTTTGATGTACCACAGTCTCTCGTATAGCTGAAGCAGTGACTTAATTAATTCATTAGTCAATCGTCAGAACTGATTGTAATTTTTCAGGCAAACTGGAAAAATTCCAGCTTCTCTAATGTGACATTTTTCTACTTTTCTCTGTTTTATGTCTTTGTTAAATGAATATCTTTGTTTTTTTTGGATGGTTAGCTATGAAACATTTTAATGAAAACATTTCACTATCTGACTTTTTATAGACTAAACTATTGATTGATTAAAAATCACAGTGGTTAGGTGCATCCCATGTCTCTCATGTCATTTAAACCTGCATTTTTTTCTTTCTCTTTTGGCCTCTCTGGGACAGCCAACACAACACTGACATACTGTATCATCACCTTTTAAGTTGATATGAACTTGTTAGCAAAAACTTGCTTATTTGCAAATCTAGCAGTTAAGGAGCAACATCATCATTCAAGTCCTTTTAGGACTATGTTCACGAGCTAGTCACTAAATTTGTCTGCTGGTGCTGGGCAGTCTGTGGTTTTATCAGAGCTTTTTTGTTGAAAACAGCTGGAAACAAGATGATGAGAACGACAACAATAAAATTGCCATTTGCCATAAAACCAAAGCAGTGAACCAAAAGACTACCTGCGTAAAGTTGATAATTCAATTGGTCCGTCACTTCAAACGACCACTTTTACATTGCACATAGTGATTTGATCCAATGGTACAACAGGAGTACAACATGTGACATCTGGTTGTTCATCATGTGTCCGAAAAACAGAGAAACAAATTAGAAACATATTTCTACTCTGTTGTCTCAGTGGCCAAAGAAAGGAGTTCCTCCATGTGGGAAGAAACCGAGAGAAAATAAACCTCCAGGACGCCAAACCAAACTTGAAGCCTCCCTGTTTATTTCAAAGCTCACAAGTAGGGATTACAAAATTACAGTGCTTCAATTGCAACAGTTCAAGGAGTAGTAGGAGAAGAGTAGGAGAGATGACAGACAAGTTGAGGAATTTTGAGCAAGTCATGCAAAAAGGTGTGGGAGAAGGCCTCCGTTATAATAGCACCCTTTGTGGAAAAAAATAAATCCATCTGTCCGTAGGTCAGTGCAAAAATAGTAATGAATATATGCATACAAAGAAAATAGATATATATTTATATACTGTATATACTTGACCGTTGACTACAGACACAAAGAAAGATACAGAGACTTGTAGAGCGAAGCCCATTTCCACCGGAGCCTCTGAGCCCAAAGCAGAGACTCTTAAACAAGTCTAGTCATAAGGAGGGCACATCAAATATGACAGCTTTGATATTGTTCTATTACAGAACCATGTTTCCAAATAAAAGGGAACAGATACCCAGATGCCTCTTGGAGCTGTCAATCAGGCTATGACCTCTACAGAAAGAGCAGTGTGGGAAAGACAGACAGCACCATAATGACTGCGAGTGTCCCTCACAGACCAGGAGCACACAGCATGCTTCGTTTTCCAACCAGAGAGTAATGTACAGTACGACGGTTACATTGTTCAGTCAAATAGATCATTACATACAAAAGCCATGTGCCGCTGCGGTTGTAGGAACCAGCAGATGGGACGAAAAGGTACATTATTCTTATATAACATTGGCTCAGATGATAAGCACTCTTTTTTTTTTTTTTTGCAAATCACTGAATATAAATGCACAAGCTACAAACGTGTGGTAAATTGTTATTATATACCTTTTTATCATATTCAAATATATTTGTGGAGCACCAGTAGACACCAATGACAACAGCAACAAAAATACAAGTGAGGACACGTTGCCACACAATGTTTTTGTTTTTTTAAACTTCTTTGTTGATAAGTCACACGTAAAAAAACAAACAAAACTCGATCTGAGGCTGCGAACTGGTATTCATGCTCGAAATGTTCGCAAAGACCTCACTGAACAATTTCCATGACAGTTGGGTAAAGACACAACCTGTTACAATTTAATTTGCATAGCATGGATTTTCACATGAGGGATTTTTAGAAGCTTATTGTCGTGAATGTCGGTGTTGTAAAGCCTTTAAGAGTGCACTGTGTGTTTGTATTCACTATGCCATGAATTCTCCTTGCATTCTCCTTCATCTCGCTGACAGAGACACGCGATCACTTCCAAAAAAAACGTTTGGGTTCAGATGTACTTTTGAAGATTTAATGGTCTCACAGAGGCTGTACTGCAAAATAAATGTTGTTGTTTTGGTGCTTTGACAATGATACTGTTAGCCCTGTGCTTCATTTTATGCCTTTATTTTCATGCAAACAATGGAGAGCTGAACACAAACCAGAAGAACATGTGAACATAAACAGAACAGGAGGCATAACTTGTGAGGGAAAGCTGCTTCAAGAACTACAAAATACTGGATGGAGACCTTGTACTCTTTGTTTTTTGGTCTGAATCTCATGTTTAAACTTAAACTGAAGGACAACAGGCTCTTTTATGTGTTGGAAACTTTGACAGCCCTTGGGTTTATCAAATCAAAACCAATTAGATCAAAGATGTGTGGTTGTGTGATGTGTCCGTCTCAGTCTGAAACAAAGCTATTTTTCTTTGTTTGAAGTGGAAAATTAATATTTTGGAGATTCGCTGATCTCTAAAATATAATTTAAACTGTCGCTTTTTATATGGTCATGCCCACAGTCATCTCAACAAGATGAGGTCTTTATACTGTGTGCTAAGGTGGTTAAAAAGGCAAGTAAACTTACCTGAAAAACACACGTGTCCCACCCGGGTACAAAAATTTCCATTTATCATTCCCACTATAACTGTCAACAGCTGAGTCAGTCAAATGTGTGAAAACTGACAAGACAGAGATGCAAATTTTTGATTTTGTTCGGCAACAATGCAAAAATCTGTGGTTTGGATCATGAAGGCATGAAGAAGTAGCAAGTTGAGTTTTTTTTGCTCTTTTCATAGCTATCTACATGTAATTTCTGTAATGTGAGTCAGAAGTGAGTATACTCAGATAAACAGGATGAGGGTAAACTGTGTGTGTGCGCTACTATTTTGTGCGGCCTTGATTTACAATTCATGGTGGTGTTCAGATTCTCCTTCAAATGCCACCATGAGATCAGAGTTACATAAGGAGCATTTTTACCTCAAGGCTTTTTAGCATCTTTAAAAGCAATTTTCCAAAATTCTGCATATGAATCAGGAACAGCAGAAATTATCAGTGTGTCACATGGAGACCAAGAGGAGCTTTAGTCTGGGAGTTAAAGTTCAACCTCGGTGTGTTCTGCATCCGTCTGCACGTGATGGTGTACCATGCGCAGGCCCAGTGGTGACACATGAATTAAGGCATCGATAGAGGCACTATAACAGCACGTGACAGCAGCGCTCGCCTATGCAAGGCAAAAGAGCTCACTTAACTGTAGCTTAGTGTCAGCGACGGGGAGTTGCAAAGGAATAGACGAGGGTCACACTGCTCCTACTGTACCACCACCGTCACATGACACCGCAACGCACAGGAGAAAGTGAATGTTTGCTTGTACCTCAATTCTGCTACCTTTCAATGGACTAAATCATAGCTCAGAACTTGGGGCATCGACACACACACACACACACACACACACACACACACACACACACACACATAGCTACGCAAGGGACTGGGTAGAGTGCATTACAACAGAGCTGGCTCATGAATGAATGGGAGCAAAAAGAACAGAGGAGACAAAAGAAGCAGGCAGTGAAATTCCTCCGTTCTGTTACATTAAACATTACCAGTAGCCCTGTTTTACAATATTCACTGATTATTTCAAAGTGTTCTTTCCTCTGCCAGCAGCCATGCATAAAAAAAGCTCTTTATGGCTGTCTGGTAATATATATATTGCTAAAATATATGCATATGTGAATGCAGGAATGGCAAAACGAAGAAGCAAACACACAAAATATGAATTTGTGGTTCTGTGTATTTTGGAAATACACAGATGACAGACATTAACCCACAAGCAGCACTCAAAAAAATAAAACCCCATTTTTTCTGTCTCTTGTACACATCTGCGCCAAATATTACAGCATAACTGTGTGCACCATAAACATATAGAACTGAACAACAGTAATTACATTAACATCAAAATGGCATCTCAGCAAAGAGCTGGAAATGTTTTGTAATCATTACCCATATATACACATAAGTTCAAGGTCTCAGTTGCATTCCACTCTGAAATTATTGCACAGTAAGCCGCTGTGGGCTCGTCATGGTCACCCCCATAAACCCCTGTATAAAAATAGAACAACAACATTAACACACCAAACAAGTCTTCATCTTTTTTGTTTGTTTTTTTGTTTGTTTTTTTTTGACAGGCACTGCCGTGGCCAACCCCGCCTGAGTCCGCAAACATAAACTGTGTGCCACAGTGTGAGCTTTAAAAGTTTATCTTCTCAGTAATTGCCCCTAAGCATATAGAGTAACGTTTCCAAACCGATTTCCTTTTCCCTCATGTTTGCTCCTCTGCAGTCACAAATGGAAAGCTTCCCACTGACCGCTTCCCCCTTCCCCTATCGCTCTATCTCTATCGCTCTAACTCATCTTCTCCTCCGGGACTTCGGCCAGGTCCAAACAGTAGGGATTTTTGGCATTTCTCATCACCACTGACCCAGAGCTTTGGCACTCCAGAGAGTCCAAGATGAGCATGAGGAGATTCAAGAAGAATACAGCAGCTCTCACACTCCAAACCGGCTCACGGGGCAGCCGGTCTCTCTTAAAAAACAGTGAGAGTGAGTACAAGTGTGAGCGTCGAGTCGAAGGGTTCGCTTAGACGACGGTTTCCACACCAATCAGCTTTGGTGTGAGGATTCGCGGCGTTATTCCATTGTTGAGGTCCTCCTCGAACTCCAACAGCTGGCCCATGAAGTTGAGGTTCGGGGAGATGATGGGCCTCCTGGTTTTGACAAACTTGTAGGCGTCTGTCATGGTCATCCAGGTGTGCTTCATCAGGTAGGCAATCACGATGGTGGCTGAACGAGATACGCCTGCCTGGCAGTGGATCAGAAGGCCCATACCTGCTTGATGTGCTTCCTCTGCAGAGAGGAACATGGAAACAGTCAGAACACCATACAATAAATGCTTTGTTCCTGCAGGGGAAGTTCAGTTATCACACATGATAAGATATTAACGTCCTTTGTGACCAGGCATCTATCTAGGTCTGGTTATCGATCTAAAATATTTCTTTGGTACCGACTGAAATGTTTCTGTAGATTATTGGAAACAAGTGCTGATAATTGGCATCACACGTTTGGTCATATTCACAGTACTTATTCTGGAGTCAGATATTTCATCATTAATAGGAACATTTTGTTTTTGGGCAAAGAGCTTTCTGAAATCTACAACTGGCAAAAGTAGTATGGTAGTAGGGGTGCTTGTGTCTATATTTAACATTTATAGTTTATTTTTCTAATTCAGAGACAGAGAAACATACACAGCACTGTACAGTACTTTTAGACAACTTGTAATCTTAAGTTTAACTAGGTTTAAAAAATCCAAAATAACATTCAAACTCCAGAATGGACCAGGGACAAGAGTCAGACCAAGACCTTCTTGCCATGAAGCAATACTGCTAACCAATGAGACGCCATTAGGGATGCCAGATCATTATCTGGACTACCACTGATGACTTATCCACCTTAAATACAGGCTGAGACTGTGCCATAACTGCTACTGAGTAATTTAAATACATATGTCTCAAAAATCAATCATTTCAATCTACACAACTTCTACTTCTAGTCAAAAACGTTCTCAAATTAAATCAACTGTATTCAGAGGACTTCAAGAATTACGGATTCTAAAAACAATTGTTTCATCATTAAATTAATCGACCCCTTTATCATTCTTCATAATGGACCCTTCTTTTTAACCAATAGTAGTGCTTCCCAACCTGGAGGTCGAAAGTTAAATCTTATAGGTCACAAGAATCATATTTCTGCCACTGTAATATGTATGTAGTCTCTGTGAGGTCAGCCTTAGGATTCTGAGGAGCCATTGCCCAGCATTGGCTTGGCAGTCCTGACTGAAAATGTGCAAGATGTGGAGCGTGGGTAGAGCTGAGGAGGGCTGAATGAAGCCTGGTTGTTAAAACCAGCCGTCTGTGGCAGCACCCACCTGTCACTCAAAGTGGCCTTTAATTATACATAACTTTATGCCTTAATGTAATTTAAATGAGAGAGTTATGTGACGATCCACCCGCGTACAGTTGTCATGAACAAAGAAATTAGCTATAGAGCCTGAAACATTTTTTGTTTTTAGTACCAGGACGTAAACATGTTTATTTCTGCTGTAAGATGGACATTGGGCTTTTTAATACGGGTCCTTATGGAGACTGATTTCTGGTGCCAGCCTCAAAGTGGCCAGCCGACGAATTGCAGCTTTTGTTTCTTCCGTTGGCTTCGTTTGCCAACGATGGAGGTTGATGCCTGATTTCTGCTGGCTACAATTGACAAAATAATGTATTTATTTTAAAATATTTTTTTTAAATTAGCTCCTTTCCCATAAAACAAAGGATTACTGCTTCAGGCTTACAAAAACTCTTTGGTTTAATTGCTCCCGAGCAGCCATTACATCATCACAAGACAAAAGGTTTGGGAGCCACTGTGTTAGCTTACACTTCTGCAGTGAAAACTTCTATTGCTGAACTTGGTGAAAGTTTTCATACCGATGAATTCAAACGCCTCCTCGAAGTACTGCCGCAGGTTCTGCTTGTTGCTGTCTGTGGCGGGCAGGCGCTTGTAGATAAAGAGGCCCGTGTCATAGTGGTAGAGCGGCAGGTGGGTGGTCACGTTCAGGATGTAGCCGATGTTGAAGCGCTGCAGCAGGTTGATGTCCTGAGCGTCTTGCTCGTTCCCCAGATAGAGGAAGGGCAGGATTGGTGTTAGTTCTGCATTCTCTATGTCCGGGGTGGAGGGCAGGGAGTGAGGTAGCGCCCCCGTCAGGCCAGCAGCTGCACCGGTGTCCAAGCCCTCGTGAAGGTGCAGCGAGTGCTCACACAGGTTCTCATGGCTCTGCCTGAAGCAGCTAAGGCCTCCTATGAACAGAAAAGATTGTGACGTGAATACAGTGCTACGCTTCGTGTTTGGTTGATGGGGAGAACAGGAAGTCAAAATATTCAGAAAAAAATTTATAAAACTGTCAAACTGTCATTTTTCTGTTTATTTAAATTTCACCCCCATCCTAACTGTAAACTGGACCTTGTTGGTCTCCCTTGGATAGAACACGAAGCTAACACTGCCAGGGTTAAGGGTTCAATTCCCACTGGAGCCCTCCATGCTAAAAATACATGCTTCTGCCCGCCACATGGCACACGTTTCATCTGGGTAGGACAAGCTTTGCATACACTACTCTGATAAAAGCAACGACAACTCGCTTTAAACAACACTAAAACATTACAGAAATCTCTCAACACTGTTACATTTGGTTATAATTTGAATGTCTGTCTCCATTTGAATATTAAATCAATATGAAGGGATTGTTAGTGTTTCCATTTAAAACAACTGACAGTTAACTCCATTTTAAGAAGGAGGGAAATGGCTACCACTGGCTAAACAACATGAGAAATCCCCCTTGTTAATCTGCAGCTAAATAGACTACTACTAAATGTTTAATATACTGTACTTCTCACTGGACATCTGCACTTCTCCAAATAACAGGTTTGCACCTGTTGCCAGTGATGCCATCGGCCAAAGTTTCCCTTCAGCAGAGTTGAGACTTGTGAAGAGGGGGTGGGTGGGTGGAAAGTGTCGGACACTCAAACCCAGTATCAGTTCGTGTATTGTTCACATTGCATGAGTTGACATCATGCCATGGGAGGTCATCGCACAACTTCCCCTTGGTGACCTGGCAGGTGGGGATCTCCTGTCAACTGTCAGGAGAGTGTTTTTACCATAAAACAGCCCGACTGTTGACCATGAAGAGAAAAGATTCATGTAATGATGTGCTGGTACAGTTCTCACTATGGTAGGGTGTCATGGTAATAATTACACTACAGTAAATAAAAGAAAGGGAAGTCTTTATAGGCGCTGCACCAGTGTCAACAAGACGTTAGAGGGAATTTCCACCTATACTGATGTTTTTCTTTCATGTTTAAAGATTCTGAGCTCATAAGACAGAACTGTGTTGAACATCTGTATTTTTAAAAACCTTTTATCACACATACATCTTTGTTTAAAATGCCAACATTTAAATGATTTACAAGATCAGAATTATTGATCAGACTATTTTACCAGACTGTGTTTATCTTGCATCTTACATCTTTATGTCTAAATGTAAAGCAGCATTCATTTTTTTGGTACTTAAGGGCAGTGAAACAAGCTGTAAACACGATATTTACATATTATCACATTTATAAATATACTGTTGTGTTAGCAAATCTTTTGACAGCATTCATATGTAGTGTAAATCCCAAATTCACTCTCTTTCTAGCTCTGTTTTGGTCTCCACCAACTTTGGAGGGAAACATCTGTCTCTTTAGTTGCTAATAACTCCACTATGTTCACCAGCTACTGTACAATTTATCAGAGCTTTTTCTCAGAAAATTAGGTTAAAGAGAGCAGTGAGACTGAAACGAAAATAATATATTTGTCGGTTTTAAAACCCAAACCCACCGACCACAATGGAAAAATCCTATGAGTTAATATCCGCTGATTTAGGGGAAGCCAACATATTTTGACTAGGACCAACAAACAGTCAAGAGGCTAAACTAACCACGCAGTGAACTGTGAAAACCTCTTTCTATTTTGGCTCAAACTGGCCCAAAGACTTTCTTTTCTGGTCAAACTCAGCTGATAAATAGTAAACAGAGAATAACAGAACCTCCAGAAGCAGCACATTGCTGTGAGATGAAATCTGTCGAGTGTGACCGTCTGTTATTATCTCTAAACTAAACTCACGGAGGAAAACATGAAAACTGTGTATCACTTTCATAGGCCACAGGCTCAGTTCCTGCTTAGAAAATACCGCTTCTGCCTCGCAAGGCCCCCTCGCCACAGATCTGCTGTTTCCAGTGCTTACCCTAAACCTTCCAACACCACTGACATGTTGTTTATGGCAATTCTGACGGATTAAATGTAACCTATTACTGCTTTAAGCTGCAGCGGGGCAGCGATGGAAGATTTTTTGTGTTTCCAGCAAAGCAGAGAAGCACACAACGACCACGTTACGATAAAGCATGACTAAGACATGAGCGAATATGAGTAAATTATTCAGCAGCGTTGGTGCAAACATGTTCCAAATATGTCAACTACTGTTTATAATAATAACATTCCCCTGCCTACTTCCTCGACTTATAACAGCTCATATATTTTAAGGAAGTGAAGAATTAGTCAACGCTACATTTAGAAAGAAGTAAAAGCATATTATTATTAATTAGGGCTGGTTTTGTTCATGTTTTGGTAAAATATCCACCATTAAATCACACATCCAAAGTATTGTATTATATAGGAGGGAATATAGGCTACAATCAAACATAGTGTGTGAGATCCTGACCATCCATGATATGAAAAAGGATGTGTAATGCAGATAGAAAAAGTCAGGCTGAGCCATTTGGTTCCCTCAGCCGAGAGGATGTCTTGCATTTTGCAAGAATTAAACCCGGGGAAGAAAGAACAAGACAGTCTGCCTGTTCCTCCCACTGAGGCGAGCTTCAGACAGACACCGACGCAGGATGAGAGACTGGACGAGTCTCGTCCATCAAAGTACACGAGAGGACGACGAGAAGAGATCAAGGTGCTGTGATCTCACGGCTAGACGGTGACTCTGAGGCATTCAGGAAACACTCACAGCCCAGCCCCCAACACGACATGCTGCTCCAGCTTCAAACACACACACACACACACACACACACCAAAGATAGAAAACATGGCAGCGACCCAGGGACTGCTATCTCAGCAGGCTGCCTTATTTACTAACAGCTGCTTCTAACTCTCTGCAAAATGTGTAATATGTGTCATATAGAAAGCCGGTGAAGAGTGTGTGCGTATGTTTAATGTACACAGAGTGAGCGTTGGCTCGATTATACGTGCAAAAAGCTGTTGTTTGTTGTTTTATAAGTGCTGACAGGATGATACAACTACAACCGATGTGTTTACAGGCAATATCAGCTGACCAAAACAATAAAGGTTTGTTTAACAGGCTTTACACACACAGCACACATTGTTATGCAAACACACTAGTTTCTTATTAGTTTATATCGCCACTAAGCTTCTACCACTGTTCAACTGGACATTGCTTTCAGATGTCTGAACTGATTTACTCCCTCCAGACTCAAACTTAAGCCCATGAAATTGTGGTTTCTATCCCATTTTTTATGCTGGAAAAGCCTTATTTCCTTCTTCCCCCAAGCCTTGACCAACCCACTTAGGTGTTACCTTTGAGGATGATGGGGTCCTTGCCCTCCCTCCTCAGTGACTCCAGGACCACATGCAGTGGCTGGGAGAATGTCAGCCTGTTGGGGTCCATGGTGCTCTCATCGTAAACCACAATCTCTTTGGAGAAGATGCCCTTATAAGAGTCCTTGCCCTCGCGGCAGGAGATCAGGTCCAGCACAGTGATCTTGCCCTGCTGCAGCCGCCGCCGGCTGATCTTGTCAGAGCAGTTGATGTGCACGGCCCCCCGGATGTGGCTCTTGTTGTACTCCATGAAGGGCCGGCAGTCGATGATGACCGGCACGGGCCCTACGGGGTGCCCCATGGGGCAGCAGGTCATCCGTTTGGCCAGTTCATTGGGTTGGATGACCCTCACAGCTGACAGGGCCTTCGGGGTCCCTGGGGTGAGACTGGGGGCGCTTAATGCTTCATGGTTACTGACCATAGGAGTGGGGGGCCCGGCATAGCTGAGGTTGGGGCTGCTGGCGCTCACCTGGCTGTGGTTGAGGCTCTGGCTGTCCTTCTCATAGGTAGTCACAGAGCAGCAGCTGGCACTGCTGCATCCACACGACAACGAGCGCGTGGAGCCCTTGGATGAGGGCATATACGTTACAAGATTGGCCGTCGCCCGGATCTTCACCACGGTGGTGCTGATGACTGTCTTGCTGCTGCTGCTGGTGGTGATGGAGTCCAGGTAGCTGGTGTCCAGGCGCAGTTGGAGTTCCTGAGGTCGGATCGGCCTTGGCAGCGCCACCACAATTCTGTCGTCGAGAGGAGATGGAGGCATGGGGAGGCTGAGGGCTGGACGTTTACGGAGAAGTCAACAAGCCGCTCTGTGGGGACAGAGAGGAGCAAAAATATGAGGCAAGGAGAAAGAACTAGTTTGGTTCAATCAATTGTGCATCCAGTGATTCAGATCCAGGCTGCGAATGAACGAGCGGAGAGTAGAAAGGCTGACCTCCTGTCTGTTTGATCAACATGCAAACTAGAAGACGGCTGCTGAGGCCAAATATTAGTAGTGTCAACACCTGCAGGGCTACACCCAACTTGGTGGGACATTTTTAGACATGACAGGCTGGCCACTAATAATAAACACTGAAATCATCATCACAGAGTCCGGTGTAACTGAATCACTTTGTAATTAAAATGACTGATCCTCCAGATACTGTACATGTGTTTGTGTCTGTGTGTGTGATGTTGAATGTTTCATCCCAACTCCGGTCTGCCTGATCCAAAGCTTTTATAACAAGAGAGAGGGAAAAAAAGAGAAAAAGATAAAATACTGCATCAACGCTACGCCGCAGTTTGGTCTCTCCCCCAAATGGAAAGTCGGGGTACAAAAAAAACACACACACACAGAGAGAGAGAGGGAGAGAGAGGAGGGGGTGAGGTTGGTGGTGGTGGGGGGGGGCAATTCCTTTTGATCACCAGCCTGAGCATTTTAAAAGCATGTCATCCTGGCATATTATGTAAAGACACCCGCCGAGCACTGCCTGTCCCGGCCATTGCCATCCCTTCACGGTGCAGCTCCAGCTTTTAAAAAAAAAAACAGAAATCATTCATGGCCAAATTCATTGAAGAAACCGGCATGAGAACGTGCCGAGAATGTGATATGGCTCTCAGGACGAGACTAACTGATCAGATGAGCTGAACGCGGAAGGAAATTCAATTTCACGCCGCCGTATATAAAAGAAAATAAAATAATAAAAGGGATAAAAAAAAAAAAAAAACGGTTGCATTGTAAAGGTTTGTGGAATATAACTTTGTCGCAACGGTGGGATATAATAAAAGATAACATCTGTAATTAAAAATAATAATAATAATAATTCATGTAATAAAAATAATTACACAGCGACAATAAAAAAAAAAAAAAACACTAATAAGCCTCTAAAGTGGTCGCAGCAATTTACATTCCTTCTTCATTAATTAGAAAATCGCGTGAAATCTCTATGACTGTGCATTTCAACAACAACTTGGACACTTCATTTTCCCCCAAAAAAACTTGCCTTCTGCTTACCGGTGTGTGTCGCGGTTCACTGTAGACGGATTTATTATCTCCGCTCGCTGACAACGTTGCCTCCATTCAGTCCGTCCCAGTGTTGTGGAGCGGCAACATTGTATTATTTTTTTTGCGGGGTACTTTTTTTACCCTGCTCTCCACAGAAATAATATTGAAGGAAGTCTGCCAGCCTACAGAAGTCCTGCAGCGGGATTGACGCGACTGTGAGCCAATGCGCGACTTCATTAATATTAAATTTGATCTTTTTTTTTTTTGTACAGTGAGGTCCGGCCCTGCGGTGGGAGGGGTTTGGGCCGGGGCTGTCTGCCGTCTGTGGCTGGCTGTCGCTTGAACTGCCTTCAGTCCCTCCACGTACCAGCGAGGATGATGTCACTGGCAGCCAATCAAAAGTCTCTCCAGGAGGCTCGAGGAAGAAGACGCGGTGCCTTCACGTGCTGCTCGTTAAAAAAAAATTTTTAAAAACCCCTTAAGGTACAGTAAAAAAAAAAAAAAAGGGAAGTGGAGCCACCGAAAAGGAGATAAGAGCTACTTTTGTGCTGCAGTGGTAGAAGAAAGGCAAGTAAAAGCGAATTAGATATATTAATAGTGTGTTCATTTAATATTAACTTAATTATACATCATTTTAAAAAAGCAGGTGTGCAAATTAATATTTTTTTTAGAATTTCAACACATTGGTAGAAAAACTTGAGCCATTCAAAAAAAATAAGCCGTCCATTCACAGATAGACATCATTGAAGAGCAGCGGTGCAGTTTTTGATTCAGTGTTGCTTATGATAAGATACAAGTGAAATAACTGTGCAGCAGTACAATGCAGTGAAGAGTGCAAATATAAAGTATCAATAAAGGTACAATTCCACTAAATACAATGTTCATAACTTGAGTTGCTTCTTGAAGAGCTATTGATACTAATTCCTGTGAAATTATTATATTATTGTCAACTGGTACAGGTAAGTCTTTGCATGAATCACATGACATGAGCTGACTTAAAAGGCAGTCGCAGTAAGAAAAGCACAGGTGGAAATAATAAATGATGGCTGAATTTTGTTCAGTGTCCTCATGCTGGCTCGCTGTCACTGTCGTGGCTTACTGGGACGTTTGAGTGCCATCGTTAGTGTTCTTTAATGTTTCTTGTTCCTTGGTCAATGGACTAGCCTTCCACCAAATGTCATTTAAAGCTGACATGTTTTTAAGATATCCTGCCAACTAATAGATAAAGAAACAGACCAAAACTGTGACCTCCTTAGAAGAGGTGATCAACAAAATAAAAATTCCAGTAGTAGTATCCTGCCTACAAAAGGTCTACAAACCTGTGTGTCTTTATATTGAAATGTCTCCGTATCCTGTATCTTTTCATTTCCTCACTCATCTTTCTGGCCAGCGTTTTTTCAAATGAATCATTTGAAGGCCTGCTGAGCTCGCCGGACGATATCTGCACTTTTATGAACAAACAAACCGCTTTCTCACATTTTCATTTTGCTTCAGCTGCACTTCTCCTGATGTTTTTTGCCTTTCTAGTTTTCCTCAGGCTACAGTACAAATCCAGTCTCTTGTGAGGAGCTTGAACATGTATGAACATTGTCACACACACTCTCCCAGTTTTCCTGCAATACGTGGATTTTTCCCACAGCACTTGAAGGCAGTATTACCTCTATGACAAAACCATGAAACAAACCTGACAATACCAGTTCAATCTTGCTAATATCTACAATAAAAACAGTTAACCAGAGTGAGGTTATTAGACACTTTAAAAGGCCAATGTGTAGGATTCAGTGGCATCTGCAGATTGCAACCATCTGAATACAGCTCAGCCTTCTAAGTAGGAGGAACATCTCTCCTCTGTAGATAAAAACATCTCATTCTAAGATAAAGAAAACATACCTATGAATATTATACTCTTTTCCTGCCAGTAAATCCTCCTAAATGTTACACACTGGACCTTTAAGACAGCTGTGCCTGTGTAATTTACTTGGACATGTCATTTTGTTCTAATTGTGACTAATCTGTATTTTTGGTCTGAGTCACACATGTCTGACAGGTTGCATAAGTTATCGCTTCATTTCCTCACTTACTTAAAAATATCAATTGACCTTAAAGCGTGGAGAAGTACAGAAAGCGAGCTAACTGTAGTGTAACATAATGAAAGAACTAAAATGCATAATAAGCTTGTGTAAGACAACAAGTGACCTGTGTGAGAGAAAAGGAGGTAGCATTATTGGTGGTAATAAGTAGGTGTCTTTGGCAGGAGTGCTATTGAGCAAGTGCCAAGTTGGCTGACTGCAAAGTCCCATATGACAGGACCCATGTTGCAGTGAAAGGGTCTCGCTGGCTTCAAACCCCAAATATAATCTGAGCTCTCTATTTATCCTCATTGGCAACCTGAAACAATGCGGGGCATGTGTCATTGCTTCTATTATTAGCCCCCTGTACAGTTATTTATAAATGGACACAGCTGATCAAAGCCTATTCGGATTGGATTCCCAGTTACTCCTGTTTCACTTGTGATAAAGGGTAAGTGAACGAGCACCCCGGGCCTTCAGAAGAGACCCAAAGTGGTCTTGTTTTGTCTTGTGAGATTTAAAGGTCCAGTGTGTAACATTCAGGAGGCACTATTGACAGAAACTGAATGTAATATTCATATGTTTTCATTAAAATTGTGTTTTTTCTTTCCCTAGAATGAGCAGTTTTTATCTACAGACACCCGCAGGTCATCTTCCGTGAAGGCTGCCATGTTTCTACAGTAGCCCAGAACGGACAAACCAAACACTGGCTCTATATAGGGATGTTCACGTTTTGGTAGCGACAAGTTTCTCCTTCATGCTTGGAAAAGGGAGGGTGAAGCGAGTGAGTTGCAATCTGCAACTACACGGCTAGATGCCAGTAAATCCTACACACTGGTCCTTTGATGAAATGGCAAAATCATTTAAAATGTTTGTGTTTATTCATGTAAAATCCAAAACATTGTAAAATTGATCCTTTTAAAGGACAAAAATAAAAACCAAAGAGGTAAATTTGTTATATAAACCTCTTTTAAATTAAACAAATAACACATCATCACTCTCTAGTGAAAACTGTATCTCCAAATTTGGTGATTTAATTTTTTATTAGATAAACTGAAGGATTAAGTGTTGTTTTATACAGTAATGGAACATTTACTCACTTACTTAATACTTTATGCTACTTTATACAATATCTGACAGCTGTTACTTTTCAGTTATTACACACAAAACATATAATCAGTCTATAAAATACTCAAAAACTCAAAAATTAATAATAATATAGTAATAAAATAATATCTAAACATGTGAGACAGTGAACAGTCTTTTAAAATGAGAAGCTTGTACGAGACCTGTTGGGAATTCAAACACTGCAAGCAGTGTGACCAGTTATGTAAATTGAACCACCAGTTCTGCCTGAATGACTGGTTTCATAAGGTCAAATGTTTGTTGAGCTGACACTGATATTCTCTCTTACTGTTGTCAGAGTTTATAGATCTACAGTAATATATGGGCTCTTTTTCAGGACATGAATGAACGTCTGCACCAGAAGATAAGAGGGATTACGAAGTTTGCACCATATAAACTGTGATAACGATCAGATAAGAGATCAGTGTTTTTGATTAAGAGTTTGCAGTTATCACGTTGACATGTTAGTGATGATGATAGGGGACAGTGTAGAAGAATTTAACAGGTTACCTGGAAGTCATGCGGGTTCCTAAAAGCACTCATCTATTTAACTGTAGATGAATAGATGAACTAAAACAACCTTATGTCAACCCGGTCTCCTAGAAGTTACATTTATATTCTGCTGATTAGCTTTTCAAAGTGCAATTGCTGCCTTATGTTCATTTGCAACTTTGGGTAATGTAGGAAGAGCTCTGTTTGTCTACGGTGGGCTGAGTGTTTGGACAAGGTTTGAGGGAGATGGTGGGCGTACAAAGCGCAGCACTGTAAGACTTAAATTTACATTCTGGGTCCCACGTGTGGTGAGGTTAAGGCAACAAAAGCACTTTGGTTGAGGTTTGGGGATTGATCAGCGTTTTGGTTAAATGTTAATGAAGTTAAATACTCCCTGTCTTGTGCTTCAAGTCACTTTATATACGTTTAATCATGCTACAGTTTCTACAAGTGGATACAATCTGAACGAGCAGATATTGTCACAACATGTAAATGATTAATTTAAAAAGTTTCCTCGTTACAAACAAGAATTATACAATCTAGAAATAAAACACATCGGACTCAGTGTGTAAGGTGTCTGTACGTAATTTTAATCAGATGATGGATTAAAAAAAACTCATATAGACTTAAAGGCCTTAAGAGGGTATAAGTTTACCATGTTCACCATCGGACTGACAGGCTGACAGACTGACATTGCCACCCCCAGTAAGCTAAAAGTGTAATTCAGGTTGCATTATGTTTCTCTCAAAACATATTTTCTGGGGCGCTCACCTGGTAGAGCAGGTGCCCTACATAGGAGAGTCCTTAGCGCAGCACCCCAGGTTCGACTGCAACCTGTGGCCCTTTGCTGCGTGTTGCCCTCCCCCTTCCTATCAATCTACATCTGTCATATCGAATAAAGCCCCAATATGTATATATGTATAAATGTATAAATATATAGTGAGTGATATCAGGTGATATTTAATATTATTAGATTGTTATTGACAATTGAACATCGTGCTTTAACACATTGCTAAATATATATATATAAACTAACCACAGTGTCTAATATATATTTTTATATGTACTTGAGGTAAAACATTTGTCCTCAGAGTGGAAAAACTTGTTTTTGTGTGAGATGTTTATTTCCTTTTTGTGCTGCTTGATTTAACCATTTGTGTTGTCACATTTACAGGAAAATTGAGGGATGCCAACATTACATTAACACCAGTAATCTCTCAATTCTGTTGTCATAGGAAACTGTGTGCAGGTGGATGTTGATTGCTGCTGATGAAGGGTTTTCAGATGTCATAGGCTTTTTATTATTTCATTTTCTCGACAGGATGAGAAACCTCGTTTTACAACCATTTTCTTCCTTCTGCGAGATCTTGAACTGGATTGAGCCGTCAATCTTCCTTTTATAAATGTCAGCCCGTGGAAAACATGACAGAGTGTGGCTTTGTGTATCTGTTTAGAGATCACACACATGGTATGAGATAATGTCAAACTTTGATGTGAAACACAGGCAAGTGGTTAGCCTTATTCTTTCAGCATGGAAAAAATGACAGATCATGGGGCGGTATTCGCTGGCCCAGATGAAAGACCTAAACCACTTCCTGACTTCAGCAAAGGTGCAGACTCAATGTCACATTCAGAGAAGCACAGTAAGATCTCAACCTTATGTAACCTTGGAAACCAGTTGTCATACGTGCATTCATTTAGCAAAGACCCAGGAGACACTGTTTGAATTACAAATTAGCCCATTTACTAATTGCTGTTTTTAGTCTTTAATATGCAAAATACTGCCCCACTCGCTCCCAGTACTTCATCCCATCTGGCCATTATCTTCATTTCTCTCTCAATGCTGAGGATTTAAGAAATGGAAAAATGTTGCTACTGATGGTTTCTAAGAGGGAATGGGCACAGATGGGCCTACTGCAGACTCAACAGCTTGAAAAGCAACATGTCCAGCGATAGCAAAGAGGGACACTGCCAAAGATTCAACAGCCTGTCGACCTATGCCCCTTTACTTTCTGCATATTTATCAGCTCCCAGCCCGTCAGGCTGTAACACAACACACACCGTTCAAAACGTGTCTAACCTCTTGAAACTTGATGGGTTGATTATCTCTCTGACTGTCATTTGAAATCTATTTCATTAGCTTCATTTGGCAACTTAATTGAATGAGCGAGACCTTAACCGAGGACTGACACAGCTTTCCAAAATAACATTCTGTTCATCATTAATGCTCGGGCTGTGTGACTATCATTGTGCAAACTATTGGAGCTTTGAGAGCCCAAAAAAAAAAAAAAAAAGATTGTCAGCCCAGTCTGTCGATGCATTATGGTGCCTCCCTCTGAAATACTGTCACACCATGACTGCACGTCTTTGTTTATTTTCTGATTTATTGGATGGAAAGTCGATTTCCTGTCTAAACTTTTGTAAGTACTGACAGTATGTGACAAACAGGAGTTTCAGAGTTTGACATGGAGTTTAGATTTGAAACATCACATGGTGACAAAACTCCCCCAAATACTAAATGTAATATCTGAAGGTCTGATGAGATCAGTGACTGTATCCAACATGTAAATTGGGAAACACATCTTCGATTTCATCTCCACACAGAGAGGGGCATTGTTAGTCAACATTACACCGATAAATAAATAATCATGTTGAAATGGGACAGAAGCCAAAAAAATAAATTGATAACAACTTGTAAATATTTGTTTTAAACAAAACAGTGTTTACTTTTCATGTTTGGATACTATTCTACAACAGATGAAAGTCTGGATGTAATAATAATAATGAGTCATAAACATAAACCAGATAACACAAAATATGCCACAAAATCTGAACTAAACAGAAATAACAGAAGCTGACATTCAACTGACATTTCAACTACTTTCAGTGGTTACACTTCGATTGACTTTTAACCTTTTGAACAACACAAAAAAAATCTTCTTTGCCTCTTCTGACTTGCACCACTTGCACTGGTCAAACACAGTTTACTCCAACTGCTTTCAGTGTTTACGCTTCACTCTACACTTCAACTGACTTATTCTCTTGGTTACACGCACACTAATTCCTCTCAGGACTTCACTTTACTTTAACTGACATTTTGAGGTCAATTTCTCACCGAGGCTTCGACTGACATTTCAACTCCTTTCAGCACTTTCGCCTCAACTGATACCCAAACTTCATTTAGGGATCACACTTAAATTTAAACATCAACTTTTTTTAGCACTGCCATTTTACAGTAACTGTCATTTTAACTGCTTTCTGTAATTAATAAAAATCTAACTCAAACTGGTTCAGTATTTTAACTATTTAAAATGTTTCAACTGTGAGCAGCTAGCACACACAAATTTCTCCGGAAAATGTATATTTTAATTTTCTTTTAATTTATTTAACTAAATGAGATTAAAAATCTTCTTTTCAAGAGCGTCCTGGGTAAGGTAGGTAGCAATTCACACAATACGCCACAAAATTAATCAGAAATGACAGAAATTAACATTTTAACTGCTTTTATCTTTAACTTATCAACTGCAATTTCAGCTCCATTTAATGATTAAAAGTCAACCGACACTAAAAACCCTTTCAGCTCTCTCGTCTTCACCTTTGAATATCAACAAAAAACACCTTAACTTTCACAACTTTCACTGTTCATACACAATTAATACAACTACTTCAGTGTTCACACTTCAACTGAGCTCTTCCGTTTAAACTGAAACATCCAGCTCTATTTATCGCCTACACTTTGGTTGACAATACAACACCTTTGACTTAAATTGCAACTTTGAAACTACTTTCAGAACTTCTTCTTCAACTGTCCATATTTGATCTGTTTAAAATGTGTCTTGCTGCTTATTCTTCAGCTGACATTTTAACTGTATTCATCTTGTTCTCTTACACTGACATTTAAACTCGTTTCAAGAATACTCTTCAACTGACACTTCAAACCCGTTCAGGCCTTGGGTCTTCACATTTGAACAACAGTAAGAAAATGTCTTCACCTCCACTGACTTCCACAGTCATTATAAACTCAAGAATGTTATTCCAAATTATGAAATCATATAAAATATTGCATTGTAAATATGCAAAATTGCACCTTAATACAAACCTGAGCTGTCTAAAGTCAAAGAAACACCAATAAAGACAATCAATGTATTACTGTATCTGTGTGTTAAGAAGGATACATTAGTATTAGTAATACATTTCATAAGTCATCTTGTGATACCCACCTCCACTAAAACCATCTCACAACCCTGAGGCGAGTTCCAACTGAAGACTGAGAACGACTGAAATTAGCTTGAAGGCAGTGAAAATAAAATAGAAAACTTTTTTTTTAAATTACTAAAAGGACAAATGTCTCTGTTAAGTGTTGCCTGTGCGAGGAGGCCAGTGGCTGTGACAGATTACCGGGTGAAGTATGGTTTACACCTAACAATAACATCTACATCCCTGAACTCATAACAACCCTATTTTCTCTGAGTTGGGCTAGTCTGCTCAGTATTATTCATTCAAGTTGGCATGTCCCTTCGCCTGAGGAGGGGTGAATCATCCCCGCGGTCACTTAGCAACAACCAAATATTGTCTAGTTAACGATCACAAAATTTAAACATTCACTCTCACTTGCTCGCATGTACACTCACGCTTATAGCGCATAAAGTCAGTGATGAAGCGTCACTAATCCTGATATACGGTGGTGCTTGACGTACATATGGCTGTACGTTGCACTCACAGATTTTTGGTTTACCTCATGCTTTGATGAAGTCTGAGATAATGATCTCAAGAATAGCAAATACTGTCATTCTCCCTGCAGTGGGAGCCCAATTTAATTCTGACCTTATCCCAGAATGGAAGCATATCATACACATGGACGGATTTACACGACTGAGGGTATTAGATGATGTCCCCTGATATTAATACCCATCGCCCACAGCGAGTGTCTGTTTATTAGGCGTTTGTGTCTTCTTAGAGGTTATAAACCAAACTTCTCAGCCGTGACCCTCGAGTGGAGCAACTTATCAGAACTACTCGCTCGCCCTCGACCTCTGAAACAAACACAGGGATAACACAATATAAATAACAATGACTCTCTCTGCACTCGCCGCTAATCATGTCTAAATAGCAACTGTTTCTAGGACAGGGGGTCACCTGCTGCATGGCTGTGTGGGAGCCAGGGCCTTTTAGCTCTGCATGGCTGTCCCAGAGGGGGATGAGGTTTAACCTCTGTTGGCAGCTGCTCTGGACTATAACTGCAATAAATAATACTGTAAATGAGTGAGAGATAATGTATAACAAGTCAGGAACTACAGGATCATGCTGAAACCCTAGTTCACAGTTATCTGGCATCGTTTGAATGTGAAACTATGAGATTTTGTGTCTTTATTGAAGGAGATTTTTTTTTAATAAAGTGAGTTTCTGTCTACACGTTTCCTGGAGTTGGCGGTAGTGTTAGCTGTTAATGCTTGTCTCCTTTCCTTTGTCTCTTCAGACACAGTTGCTAACGCCTCAGTTTCCCTACATTATTCTACACAAGCTGTGGCGGCTGTCAGAAATGTAAAACGCTTCACTTCCCGTATGACAGAGGATGATTTTGCAAGGAAAAACCAGACACCAGGTGTATGGAATAGCAAATGTAAAACCTTTTGTGAATCACCTATTGAATTACAGATGTGCTCAGTTATTGAATAGTGAATAGTAAATCAATATATTTTATTTCTTCTATAGCTACTGGACACATAAATATGACTTTTTGGAGCACTTACTGAAACTTTTAAAACCTTTTGCAATCATAAAGTTTATAAACTTCAACTAAAACCAACCTGGGTTTTCAGTTATAAAAGGTTAAGAAAGTTTATTCATGTAGTGGAATTTACTCCTTTAATCAACACTGTGTCAACTGGCTTATCATGATAACATCAGACTGATATCATTACAGCTACAGGTAGTAGCACAAATAGAGATAGTGTAAACCGTCATATGCTGATATGACCGTTAACTGACGTACTGGTGGTTCGCCTTCAGCTGCCTCAATTATATTCTGGTGTCAGTTAGGTGTGTTATGCAAACAGGAAGTGATTAACAGGATGTGATGAACACATGAAACGTAGACGAGGAGCAAAGTAAACAAACACTCAACTGACCAACTTCAGACCATTTGCATCTCTGGTGCCTTTAGTTTGTTTTAGGTATTATTAGATATATTATACTAGGTATTTATTATTAGTATGCAAACTCACTGGATAAGAAAGTGTACATTTTAATGCTTTAATTGATGTAAAGTTGTTATAAAGGTGGTACAACCACTATTATCATTTTGACAAAAAAAGGCCACTCACTCACTTTTTTCCAGAGCTTTCAACTGCTCTTATGATCTTCAAATAGAGTTTGCCGTTTACAATTTTGAATATTATTACAATATTACTGTACATTACTGTTGAAGCGTTGTATTAATGACACCAGGTACTAATTTGTTATAATCTGCTACAGGAACTACAGATGAAAATGAGCTCATTAGTTAACTCTGACATATTTACATCGATGTGTAAACTGTTGATTAATGTGAGTTGTCCCTGGTAAACGAATAAGTAAATACAATTAAATTAACGTAATCAAAAATGTTATAAACTGTGTATCATAGCTCTCCTGTGAAAACGATTTTTGCCATAACATCAGCTGTTCATGAGCTAAGAAAAACAGCTCTGTGACTGTGGCATTTTACTATAAACTATATTCTAAAAGGGTTTTTGTAGAAGAATATTTTTAATCCATAAAAGGAAAACTTAATTCTTTCAGTCACCACATTTGGACAACGATGATGTGTTGATCATATAACCTGCATCCAAAACACAGATGTTCCCTGTTTTCAATTTAAAACAATACTTTGTGTTATTCTGCTATCTGCGGCCCACATCAGCAACTACTTTAAAACATATTGTACTCTATTAGAAAAAGAGTCCTCCTGGGAGCACATCATGTGACCCAACGATCTTTGTCCTCAGATTTTCTCTCCCTTTATCTGAGTCTCCTTGGAAAACTAATGATGTCCTTTCATGCTCTTCTCCTCCTTGTTCACAGACTGACAAAGTGGAAGCCCACAATGCAGGAAAGCTGATGAGTATGCAAATGACTGGCGACAGAGAGAGAGAGAGAGAGAGAGAGAGAGAGAGAGAGAGAGAGAGAGAGAGAGAGAGAGAGAGAGAGACAAAGGGAGAGAAATGAAAGCAAAGAGGCAATAGTGGAGAGTGATATGTGTCATTTGGTGATGTCATGCATCCAAGCGTCCAGGGTGACAGCGGCGGTGGTAACGGCCTGAGTCAGAGGATGACATCAACGCTACAAGCTGTCAGACAGGTTGTGAAAGGGCTTAGTCCCACGCTCCCATTGTTCTCTGGTTAATGCTGTTATTCAGCCTGCCACCGGCCTTACCATTTGTTAATCTGACCTAACACACAGTTAAACACAGGACAAAGACACACAAACAGCAAATTTAAAGGCCAGCATAGAAAAAAGGCCAGCGGCGAAATGTCAGCCTGTAATACACCATCACAGCTTTTTGAATACAAAAGAAGAAGCACACAGTTTTGAGTGAGGTCAGGCAATGAAAATTTACTAGCAGACAGATTCAACAGAGGTTACAAAGCTTTAATTGATTAGCTCAGTGTTTGGCTTCTATATCATGTAGATTAATGCTGAATTTGAAGTGTATAAAAGCATAGATTCATTAGAGGATAAGTCTGGGGGTATTCTATATTTTACTTATCTTCAAAAAGACAAAAATAAAAGTCTGTGTGGCCAAAAGTCTGATGTAGCGTATTCCTCTGTGCCATAGAGCTCCATTGTTGTCCAAAAACTATTAAAATCACTCATCAATGAGCCACACTGTTGCACTGGGTGACATGCTCCCTCATTACAATGAGGGGCACTGTAGTTTATTTTGAGTGGATCACATACACAGCGCTGCTATAAATCCTCACTAGGGCACAACATGTGTATTAAACCACAACTCAAAATAGTCCAAACTCACAAAGTCGCTCTGTTTGAGTAACATTTACCAAAACTTACAGTGACCGACTGTTTTAGAAAACTACTGAGCATTTCTTAAAATAAGGTCTAGTTTGTAACATTTAAGAGGACCTATTGGCAACAATGGAATATAATATTCATAGGTATGTTTTCATTAGTGTATAATCACCTGAAAATAGGAATCATTATGTTTTGGTTACTTTAGAATGACACGTTTTTATCTACAGATCGTCTTCCATGGAGGCTGCCAGGTTTCTACAGTAGCCCAGAACAAACAAACCAAACATTGGCTCTAGTTGGCGTTATTAGTTCCTCCTTCGTTTGGAAAGGGAGGGTGAAGCAAGTGAGTTGCAATCTGCAACTTCACTGCTAGATGCCACTAAATCCTACACACTCCTCCTTAAGAACATAACCAGTGCTTTGAGCTGAATGCTAACATCAGTATGCTAATATGCTCACAATGTTTAGCAGGTGTAATGTTTACAAACATACTAACATTTAACAAGTAGCACTTAGCAAAAAGTACAAATGGATAAGATGAAAAATCAGTAGTAGATCATCACCAAAGGGGGAAACATAAAAATTATAAAATGACACTCCATCCAGGTGTTGTTGAGACATTTCTTTCAAATGTTAAACTCTTGTGGCTCTAGAGAAAAGTCAGGGGATCACCAAAGTCAACCTCAGGAGAACATGTCTATGACAATCCATCCAGTAGTTTTTGACATATTTCAGATGGACCGAACTGGTGGAATAAAAAGAATAGACCCAAATACCTGTGGATCTGGATGACAAAGACCGGATCAGCTTTGTTTCCACAATTTGCTTATAAAGGCTTAAAAGCTTTTTCACTGCATTTAATAACCTCTCACTCTTTAGGCATTAAATACCCAAATGACAGATTTTAACTGATAAGTTACATCATATAGTTCAACCACATTATCTCCATCCAGAAATAGAAGGGGGGGGGTTTGAGATGAAGTGCTGATTCAGATCAGGATGAGTAAAGGCGGAAATGTAGAGCCAGACAGACAGACATAAAGACAGACATACAGACATACAGACAGACAGGCAGGCAGGCAGGCCACGTTCTCCAGCTCCCACATTCGTTCAAAATGCACCAGGCTTTGTTGTATTTTCCAACCACACAACCCCCCACTATGGAGACACACAAGGCTTTCTTTGGGGTCAGGTCGAGTTCGCTCTTTGTTAGTTGCTCACTGTACTTACACAGAATTACAGATAAGTAGAGACAGCATGAGTCAGTGGGCACATATATGCTTACGTGAGTCATTGTGGTGTAGGTAGTTAACAGGTTGATGTCAGGAAAACCATTTCAAAGAATCATCCAACCTACCTGGTATTATACCTGTAGAGTTTCAGAGGATTGCATCGAGTGTGAAATATGCCTCATTTGCAGACTGCAGATTTGATAAGTTAATGTGTGAGTGTGTCAGTGGATGATATCACCTCTCAAATGGTATAAATATCCATTATGTTTTCTTTATAGTTGAAAATCTGAGATTACATGTTTACTAAAAAGAGTCATTATCCCCCTCCTGTATAGTCATAACACTCACCAGTGGGACAAGAAAAGGGCATAAATTAAAAGATTACATCATGTGAATCCACACAAAAGAGGCCCACATGTTGAATAAAAGCAAATTATATCTTTCAGAGGCTCCATTCATGCACTCAGACTCTTTAGCATTACAAATAAAAACCTGTTAAAGCTGAGATAAAGACACATTAAATACATGCAGTATGTTGCAGGTGGCTGCAGTGCCCCCTGCAGGAAAGTGCTATTATAACATATAAAGTATAAAAGAGATACTTAAAGGTTCAGTGTGTAACATTTAGGAGGATCTATTGGCAGTAATGAAATATATTGTGCATAACTACGTTTTAATTTGTGTATAATCATCATTATGGTTTTGTTATCTTAGCAGAGCCTTTCATATCTACAGACGCTGCGGGTCGCCTTCCACAGAGTCCTCTATGTTGAACCACCATGTTGCTACAGTAGCCCAGAATGAACAAACCAAACACTGGCTATAGATAGGGCTGCTTGTGTTTCTCTGCTTTGCACTTAGAAGGGAAGGGTGAAGCGAGGGAGTTGCAATCTGCAACTACACCACTAAATGCCAACACACTGGTCCTTTAATTTATATGACACTTTTCAAACACAACGCGGTTCAAAGTTATTCAAAAAAAGCCGAAAAAAGAATAAACAGAAAGAAAACATTTGAATAAATTAAAGATAAACAAGATTGTTCAAAGCATAAATTGGGTCAAGAAAGCAACAATAAAACATGTTTGAGGGAATAAATACACAACACTTGGGGCACTGCATCATATCAGAAAAACACACGCTCCTGATCACCAATATTTAAATATAAGTCCAA